TGTGATATTCCTTCGACGCTGCTGCAATTTTACTTATTTCGATTTGCTGTACCGTATTATAGGGTACGTGTATGTCCGTGGAATGAAATTTCGTTTTCCCGACGTCGTTGCGGATTCCATCCGAAAAGATGCTGAGCTTTCGTTCGGCGCAGAAAGCGCGAACGATTACGTGTCCCCTGTTTTAACCAATATATATCGAAAATTGTCTCGACTCTCGATATTGCACCGTATACCTAAATATTCCAGAACACGTCGGTGCCAATTGCCACGTCATTTAGCCTTAATTTTTATTAACGCGATTTGAAAGCTTTACTTTATTACACTTTTTTCTTTCTTTTTTATTCCTATTTTTTCCTCACAATATTAATTTTACATACAATTTTGTCGCGCTAAATAATATTTTCGCAAACATTTTCTTTATTATTCTAAAAGCGGCTTCAGCGATGACGTGGTCGATGTATGCCAGCATTACCAAATATTACACACATCCAAAACACACATACACACATATACATGTGACATGCATGTAATTATCCATCTGCAGGCCAATATTTAGCGAATGTGCGTAATGTTCGCATTAAGTACATTGGCTATATCATCTGAAGCCATCTGGATACAAGTTCTGTATGTGTAAAGACGTTATATTAACACCCCCCCCAAATGAATTTATTTATTTATTTATATTTCTCTTTCTTCCATCTCCATATTAATTTCTAAAATTATTAATATTTTCTTTATTTTTCGTGCTACGTATAAAATATCCAATTCTCGTGCGACAGCTGTTCTGAGAGTCCTAGTATTTTTTTCATTTTTTATTGGATATTAGATTTTAATTTGACAAAAGTAGCTCTTTTGTTTTAAAATTGCAAAATTATCGAAAATTATATGTCTATCGTATCAATTATCTAACAATAAGTAAAAGGATATTGGGTCTTACATACCTAAATATTCTAGAGCACGAGTTAATCTATCATTTAATAGATTATTTCTGTTAACATGATCTGAAAGGTTTTTTTCAAATTTTCTGTCTTTTTCTTTTTTTCCTTTTTATTTTTAGTTATTACCTAATAATTCAATATGTATTAAAACGTTCTTTTATAAAAATTCTTTAATATCACGCTTATATAAGTAATAAACACGCTTATATGAGAATTCAATATTTTCAAGTTCGAACCTGCTTTATTGAAGTCAAGTTGTGCCCGTAAGACCTCGATGATTTTAGATTATTCGAAAGATTTCAAGTTACATAAAACTTCAGAGTGCGGAAGAAGCTTTCATTTTACTGCACGATCGGCAGTATTGAAGTTGCAGAATCCGCTCCGATA